TCCACCTACCCTCATCAACTTTATCAGTATATCAAAAAGGAGTCTACTTTACTGGCATAAAAGTGTTCAACAATCTGCCACAAAGTATTAAAAACTTGGGCAATGATACTAAAAAGTTTAAATCAGAGTTAAAGAATTATCTACATGCTCATTCCTTCTACTCTTTAGATGAATACTTCAATGTAAATAGAGAATGATGTAAAATTAAGTTATATTAATTTTTAAGCTAAAATTGCCTGTACTTATGTATGTAACCTTTTGACTTGTTCTGTATCCAAAGGTACTAACCTGCTTAGGATTTATAGAATGTAAATAAATTCAATTCAATTCAGCAATCTCAGCAGTACACTGCCCGCCCAGGCAACTCATTACGAAAGATCAATTTCAACAGTTCTACACAACGCTAGGTAACAGATTTCTCGCAGGTGGAGACGACAATGCAAAAAATATCCACTGGGGCTCCAGACTAACTACGCCGAGGGGAAGAGAGCTAATGAAGGCCACAGAAACTAATAACTTAAATCGCCTATCCATGGGACAGCCCACCTATTGGTCATCAGATGCAGATAAAATACCAGACCTTATAGACTTCTGTGTGACAAAAAGCATACCCCACAACAGCATACAAGCAGACTCTTGCTTGGACCTATCCTCAGATCATTCTGCAGTATTGATAAAGCTAACCACCGATATAATGGAACGGGCAAAACCGCCCACACTAAGTAATTAATATACCAACTGGGATACGTTCAAACGTTTAGTCGAGACAAATCTAGACCTAAAAGTATCTCTCAAAAATTGAGAAAACATTGTAGCAGCAGTAGAACAGTTCAATCAAGCAATTCAACAAGCAGCCTGGAACTCATCACCGACAATAAGGCAATATTTAGCAATTTTGACTTTACAGAATTCACTGTAGTTAAATCACGAATTTGACACCATCCTCAAAACTGACTGGAAAAAACACAAAGACTTAACTCAGGTTAGTCGTTCTCTCTGAAGAAATGCGGGGATATTCCCTCAATTAGAAGATTACTACATTCTGAACATTCCAATCAACATGCGAATTTTTCATGATAACAGGGAGATGTTATGATAATTACAACTGTCTTTTAAATCTTAAAAATAACTAGAGAATATTAACAGGTACTTGTTTCTGTTCACAGATGAATACAGAAGGATAATGATGTATCGAGAATAAATAAATAAGGAGGAAGTCACAATTTTCTTTTAATTTTTGTGGGTGCACCGTACTTTCAATAATTTGTTATGGTTCCTTTTGATATTCCCATTTCTTGTGCAAGGCACTTTAGAGGTTTACAAGCCAAAGCCAGAGGTTTAAACCAAACTCTGAATCATTCAACCTTTCCAGAGTTAATACTCAAAGTTCAAATTTTGGTTTCATGTCTGTTAAAATGCCAATTGCATTACAGGTTCTCATGGTGGTGCCTAAGAAGAGTTTGCACTCACATATCTTACCTGAACACCATGCTTCTAGTGCTGTCTACTGGTACTAAGAAGCAATTTCTGTAACAGAACTTAATAAAGGAATATCTTGAGAAGATACGTAATGAGATTATAGAATTTCAAAGAACAGGACGTTATGATTTGATGTACATGAAGACAAATGAACTAGGATGGAAAGAGAATCATGGGATTCAAAATATTGGCATCGAAGACTCCCAGGAGAATAGAATAGTAGATCAGAGGCAAATTCTGAAAATTTGGGAAAATTATATTACAGAACTATATGATCGACCTAATCGGCCAGAAACCTTAGAAGTTGAACCGGAAGAAGAAGTAGATACAGACGAGAAAGGACCATATATTTTACAAAGTGAGGTGGAAAAAGCTATCAAGGAAATGAGGAAGGGAAAGGCTACAGGAGATGATGATGTACCTGGAGATGTGCTCAAGTTACTGGGAGAAGGTGGTTTGAAAACACTGACAAAACTAATGAACACCATATATGAAAGTGGAGAGTGGCCCAAGGACTTTACAGAAGTTACAATGATTGCCTTAAAGAAAAAGACAAAAGCTACAAAATGCAGCGACCATCACACAATAAGCCTTATTGCACATACAGCAAAAATAATAGCTAAGATAATTAAAAGAAGAATTGAAAGGAAAATGGAGGATATACTTGGAGAAGATCAGTTTGGATTTAGAAGAGGAAAAGGAACCAGGGATGCAATATTTGCATCCCTGGTTCGTGTTTGCAATACTAACTTTGGAGATGGATGAAGAACTGTGTGTTTGCTTCATAGACTGGCAGAAGGCATTTGACCGTGTAAACTGGACCAAATTA